GTCCTATGAAGATGAGGTCTACTTGAATCAGTATGATGTAGATTGTGAAACATACGAATTATTTGTTTCTGAGCAACAAAAGTCCTGTTAATATTTATTGCGTCTCTCCATAAGACCACATTATAAGATATAACAGAATTCACAAGAGCGTAGTAAACATCTAACAGTAGTTCTTCACTCAGTATTTTTTTAAGCTGCATTAAGGCATAGAAACTGCTAATAAATCTTTTACTCACGTAGTCGACTTGAAATTGCCAGGTAAATGAGTGGTCAATGTGAACTCCTAAAAACTTTGTGGATTCTGAAGGGTATATATTCGTGTTATTTATAATAAATCTTTTACTCACGTAGTCGACTTGAAATTGCCAGGTAAATGAGTGGTCAATGTGAACTCTAAAAACTTTGTGGATTCTGAAGGGTATATATTCGTGATATTTATAATAACGTGTATGGGATATTCCACAGATTTTCTTTAAGAACACTGTACCAATACTGTTTTTTTGCATTAGACAATAAGTCTATTTCTTTGACACCACTTTGAGAAATTTTGACTTATTACATTCAATTTTTCTTGAAGTTCCAAAGTACTGTCGGCTTCTGCGGAAATAGAAGTATCATCGGTAAAAAGAACTATCGAAGTAGTGCCGATATGTTGTGGTAAATCATTTATGTATAGTAAAAACATGAATGGCCCCAAGACTGAGCCTTGCGGAACTCCAACTTCTAAGTCATAAGTATTCGAGTTTAGATTATCCCATTCTAGGTACATCTTTCAAAATTTCATATAAGACATAATCCAAGATAGAAATTTACCTCGAATTCCAATTGCACTAAGTTTCTTGGCTAGTGTATTGAAGTTTATAGAATCAAAAGCTTCTGATAAATTGAAGGAGAGTGCGGCCAAAAACTTTCCTTTGTCAATTCCTCAATAAATATTTTCCAAGAAAGTGTATTCGCACTTTCCATCGATCTACCGTGGCAAAATCAATTTTGACATTTTTTTTAATCTTTCATCAAACCTGAAACTTTTTTACTTGCTAATGGAATTCCAAATTTGTTATCTACAGCATAGTCAGATTTATCGAATTTATATATGTCTTCTTTGATATGTTTATAAATATCATTGTTGAAAATTTCTGTAATGAATGACGTTATTTTTCTTATCAAAAAGTGTCGTAACAATTTTGAATGCTTTGATGTTGAAACGGGTGGGATCAGTTTTGAGGGTATTAAGGAAGATCTTTATGAACATTTTGAAGTTGTATAGGATAATCTAAGTCAACCTACGGTATGTAACATTAATCACAATTATCAGGTGTTTTAAAGGTGCCTTCTGAATAGAAATTAACACTATCTATCCACCTAAAATCACCAACAGGTAAATATTCTGATAAAACTGTTTCATACGAATTAGTAACATCGTAGTACATGAGGTATGATGAGGGTTGATCAAGGTCATATTCGTTTTTCATGTAAAAATTATTAGCTTTACCATATACATTGCTACATTAGGAATATCTTCTAATAATTCCAAAGTAACCTTTGAAATTTTCAAACAACTTGCATAAGCAAGATCTGGTGCAGTGTTATATTTCAAACACTAGATCGTATGCTTTCAAAAATACTTTTCGAAAGTTTTCAAAAACATCAGCCATCTGTTTTTAAATATAACTCCAGTGTCCCATACTTTAACAGCATGCGATAATTCATTTTCTGATACACTGCACTTTCTTAATTTATTGAAAAAATATTGGATTGGTAGTAATTCCTCAGTTTTCATTTTATCCCAACTAGGAAAATAA